GCCGGGATCTGCAGGTCTCACAGGTATTGCAGATACGACAGATGCAGCAGTTGAGGAAGGCGTAGGGGATGATTCGGATACTGTAGGTGCCACGGATGTTGCGGGTGCAACTCGTATTGCTGCCGCGGATACTACAGGTGTCCTTGACATTATCCCGCGTACGGTATCTGGCGTGACAACTGTCGACACTGAAATGATAACCATAAAAATATAATCTTTGGGTATCGAAAATGTCCTCTTTAACAGAATGCCTAAAGAAAAGCAAGTTTTGCCATGATCTTTATTCCAAAAGACGTCTTTTCGAGGAACAAGAATGTATCACTCAAGAAAGGAAACGACTGGGCATATTTTTTTATACAACTACACAAGAACATAGCGTTTGATAAACCTCCGCGTTAGCCAAAAAATCTGCTCTTCTTCACACAATATTGTTGAAATTGAGATTACAGAACGAAATCTCAACGGCTTTGCATGCACACAGACATCTATCTTCATCTATGGCGAAAATGCAGCATATAAGTTTCAACGTCTCTCAAACGGGATAGTATAACCGAATTTTGTGTTTGATTAATCTACTTTTGAGCTATAATCTGAAGAGACGAGCAAGTTCTTAAGCTTGCAAGTCTGGTAGAATAGGCAGATGAATATAGCAGGAAATTTCATTTACAGACTAACAAATTTTTGAAGTGGCTTAAAATCACAAAAATCTAATAGTTGAGAGTCTACCACCATACAGATGTGCATTGCATGAGCTTTCATTTTGAGATATCTTGAACGACAGACATGAGATTGTTGTCGCGCTTCTATGAAGATTGAAATAATCTGCATGAAAGAAAGACCTCGTTCTTCTGGAAAGACTGTAGCAATGCAGGAATAAACGCTGAAATACTCCAACTCCAGGGTGGCGAAGGCGATAAACAACAGCAGTTTCATTCTGAGGCTTTGGTGATAGTGTTTATGCTCTCAACTTCAGATCTTACACCAAATTGAGGTCATGCGCATAGGTACAAAATGGAAGCCTCTTAGCCAAAATGGACTCCGCGCGACGCCGAAGAGACTAACCAATTGCATGGAAAAGAAAATGGGAGTTAAAGGCAATTTTATAGAACAAGCCTGCTTCTTCAACTCTAGTGTATAGCTACGATTGCTTAACGATACTGTAAAGTGATGTGTTGCAGCCTCAGTTGTGAAACATGTACTTCTACACTATTGCATATGTTTGTTCTAAACTTTCAAAGATTTTAATCGGACTGATCAGGCTTACGCAATCATAGAGGTGGTTTTCAAGATGACGTGTAAGATTTATTCTGCATGAGAATCGAATTATTATAATGCAATTGAAAACAAATTTCTACAACAACAAAACTCGTGCTGTAATCTCACATTAGAATGTTCTGAGCCGTTCAGCCTGCACAGTTTATATTGAATCCAATCACTGTCTTTTGTCCGCTGTAAGATTTGAAATATAATAGTAGATTGGTAAAAAACATCTTTTGAGTCTAAGTTTACTGTTCGAGATCTTCGTGACATAACGATGCAAAACATGAAATATCGCAATCAGTCCAGCTTACAAGGGGACCATGTTCAGTCGAAGTGGAGTTTTTGAATGGGATGTATACCATGTTAAGGGCATAAAATGCTGATTACGA